CCTGACTGTAAGTATAAATGTATGCAAAATTAATGCTGGCGACGTGACTTACCTGGTATCTCGCAAATGAACCCTTTCGCCCTGTGGTCGCAGTAGTCGTCATCCAATGCGAAGGCTTGACTTTTTCTGCATGAATGATAAAACATGGTTACAGGAATCAAATCACGAAGGTTAGAAATTGACTCAAATAGACGTTTCAAAACAGTGTCTGTGTTCTGCCAGGCGAAGTAACCCTTTCACATCAAACTAGTCCCTGTATAATGGCGATTAAATGACAAGCACAGTTTCTATTGATTCAAAAATAAAATCCAAATCAATTAATTAATCAATAATTAACATGACATCGAGGGTCACGATCGAACTGATCGAACTGAACGTGTGATGTTAGAACAAAACATTATGTAATGGCGACTACGCATGATAATAAAACAAATGGTAGTATTTAATTGTAGTCCTCGGTAATTATTCAACGAAATAACCAGACGTTTCGGACATAGTATCATTTTTCAATGATATATATGAATAAAATTATCGTAGAAAACTAGAAAAACGTAAGTACATCTTCAGCTGAATCACAATGCACGATTAAATGCACAATGTGCAAGACGTTCTCACCTCAATTGTATACAATCTTGGCCTTCTTCTCTTAATTTCTCGTTGTTATTTGGTTCACCAGCCCCCCAAGGTAGTGCCGTGACATTTTGGCAGAACGATCCTCCATTCGACCAAGTGTAAACGCCTTCGTTTCTGATGTCGTTTAGACCAATCCAAAATCCAGTAGCAACGTCGTCGGCGGCTCCAGAATCAATGAGGTACTGCAACATATACACATATGTCTCTTCGTCTGGAATTCTTGCAAGGTTACCACCCAAGTTGTCATGGCAATACGCTTCAGCATCCGCCCAAAATACCTCGTCAGTATATACTTTGTATTCGACGGTATGCCCTGGAATATGGTTGCACATTCTGGTATACGAAACGTATCCATGATCTGAGTCCAAGTGCAAAGAAAATAGTAAGTATAAATCCAATAATACGTTCCTTCGATATATCACATGATATCTATATCTATGTTCACCCCCCTCTCATACACACACGCACCCTGCTTTCTTGTTTTAGTTAGTGGGGTATACACCATGATATCATAATATGTAGTTAGATTAATAATACATACTGAAATACATAGTGCAGTTTCAAATCAGCGTGAGACATAAATATCGACATCAATTATATCAGACACATGAGGTCTTTCTATGACGTATTCACTTAGTTTTACATTTCATTGGCCAGGCGCTAATCTATGCAAAACAGAAATGTGTGAATAAAAACATTTTCTCGTTACTGAGGCGTATACAATTATTTACTTTTAAATACTCCCCTATTCTGATGCACATAGTATATTTATACTGTTATAAATGCAACATGCAACAAGTTTCAGGTTGTTGATTGAGGTAAACATTGACAGGCACCACTTTTATTATTGTGATAGGAGTTTTCCTTTCCCCTAATTAATCGTCGTGGTAGCGCACCAAGCACAAATGCAGTCAATATAAGCATGTCGCGTAAGTTATACACTATATGATACACCGTTGACGATCACCTATGACGTGGTGCCATGCACACTTGTATAAAACATAATGTCCGTTGACTAATTATACAATTGTTCAATAATGTTACTTACCATCGATCACGTTATTGACCACGGGTGTCTCTTCTTCGGGCGTGTCGGCTGTGTCGTCAGTTTGCCCATGTGCCAAATAGCAAAACACGAATAAAACAAATACTGTATACTTCATTGTGATATGCGTTGTATAATAATGGAGCCTGAAGGTAATTGGAAATCAATGTGATTGTAATTGACATCATGTTTCAACAAGTTGCTTTATGTTACTTCGGGCGTCAAAAAAAAAAAAGCAACGCGCCTTATATTTATTTGTTTCACGCTATGTTGGTGAATTTGCCGAATCCACGACTTCTTCGCCTAGTGCCTACAATTTCATTGTGAGAATATGTGCTTTGCTAAATTAGTTACAACTTGAATTAGCAAAATGCGACATAGCTATTTTAGTTACAATAATATGCATGCTGACAAAGACATGTATTACTTACCGAGAATGTGTTCCTCTTGCCTATGATCAGCCCAGTGTTGATGCAGAGTTGGAACTGCGTTGGTTTTTATAGAAACTCTACGATAATACGCAATGTGTGGAATGTTTACCCTGCGTATTCAAGTGGCTATGCATCACGCACGGAGTCTCTTCACATCGGTAAAAGTTGAATTGCCATCAAGTGATACTATACAAGCAAAGAATGTGAACGACACAGAGGACGCCGTATTGTGGGAGCATCTGGTTGTACATCACCATTTAGGGTGGGCTGTTTCATACCCATATATCACAATTTGCTTCTTCAATGAGAGTGTTTTATACAAACAAAAATCAGTTGAGTTATGTCGGTTTTTTTTTTATTTGCTTCTTTTTTGTGATTAATTTTATTTAAAATTTAACAGAATCACAGATTACAGCTGTGTCTTACTTAAATTTCCCACGCTTAAGTCTAGTCATGGCGTTTAGTTATACCCTTATTGTAGTTTGATATTTGGAATCGAATTTTTCACATTCGGAACTTTTCTAGTCGTCAAATATGACCCAAAACATTAATTTTTAACATAATAAAAGTGTAGATTACACAAATCATGTATATATATATATATATAACAGTGTAATCACGGGTATCGATTATATTGTCTATGACCCACGTGTGTCAATTTACATGTCCTTTGAATGCCAGACTCATTCCAGAAAAATGTAATGCAATTGGCAGTGTTATCACACCAAGTGTTAAACTGAGATTGATTATTATTCTTTAATACTGTTATCAAATGGTAAAATTAAGATATTTGAAAAAGTAAATGGACAACGAAAGCGCTAATTGAGTTAACTTATTGCGATAGTGTACATAAGCTGTGAAAATAAA